ACACGTCTTTCACCTGCTCCCACCGAGTGGAAACCTGCCCCAAACCCCACACCTCCCACCCTCAGTCCCACTTCTGCCCTGTGCCTGCATTGGCTTAGGGCCTTGGGGGCTCTCCTATCACAGGTCCGGGGTGGGGGCAACACAGTTGCCCAGGGAGGCCCCTGCTGGGCACCAGGACGGCTCCTCCCACCCCTGCCCTGACCTCAGCCTTGAGACAGAGTCAGGGAGACGGAGGTGGACAAGGACAGAGGCTCTGATGGGGAGGGAGGATGTAGACAGGAGAGAGGGGAGGTGGGGCGGGGTGGGAGTGAAATAGGGAGATGGAGGTAGTGAGAGAGATGGGGAGACACTAAGCCGGAGATGCAGAAAGATGTGAGAGGGGCCGGGATGGTGAGAGTCAGACCCAGAGACACACAGAAAGGATGCTAGAGAGAACCAGAGAAACAATAAAAGGTCTGAGGGTCCGGAAAGGCAGCCAGGCTCTGCGACTCTCCCTGGTCAGGAGGGAGTCACTTCGCCCGGGGTGTGAGTGAGGAACCCTGGCCTAGAGAGGATGCTGTGTGACCCCACCCGGGCACCCCACCTCTCCGAGCCTTGGCTGCTGGTCTACTAAGCAGGGGGACCAGCCCTGTCTCCGAGAGGGCCCTGAGGCTCTACAGAGAGGCTGGCCTGGTCCCTTTCTTCCCTCTACTCCCCGCTGAGTCATGCGGGCCTGCAGATGGGGTGGGGGGCTCCCTTCTGGGGCCCTGAGTGGGCAAAGCAGGTGAGAGAGGAAGTCGCTGTGGGGCTGGTGTCGTGTGCTGCAGCCGTGAGCACGGAGTGACGGAGCGTTTGCCCTGAATATTGAAAATGCATAAATATCCATTTTCAGGCACCAAGGCAGATATAAATACAGAGGGGAGGGTGTGCAGCCCTCAGCCGTAATTTACCAGCTCTGCTACCTGCAGGGGCTTGGGCACTCGCTTGGCTGTCAAGAGGCTTTTCCAGATGGCTTTATGACCATCAGTGGCCACCTGGATCCCTTCTCCTGGAGAAGTGGCTCCTTGGGATCCACCGCCTGGGGTGAGGTTGGGCAAGGCAGGGGGTGTCATTCCTAGGCCTGCTCCGTCCTAGGCCTTTGGGGCCTCTCCTGCTTCTCCTCCTCCAGCATCTCCTTGCTTGGGAGGGACAGAACCACATCTGTGTCAGGCGTGGTGTGTACCCAGCCCTGGTGCACTTGGATAAAATCAGAGATGTTCCAGTCCTGCCCATGGGCACTTCCAGGCTGCAAAGCAGAGATGACACCCTAGGTCCTGCCCTTAGGAACTCACCCAAGGGAATGACAGAGGCCAGAGGCCAGAGAGGAGAGACACATGGCCAATGGTGGCCTCGAAGAGTCTGGCTGCAGCCCAGCACACCCAAAGCCCTCAGCCTGGAGGGGAAGCAGCAGGACCTGGGGTGGAGGTCACAGCCCGCTGGCAAGCAGCTCGCTGGCACCCTCCAGAGAGGACATGGGTCTTGCCCCATGCTGGCTTATCCAGACCCTTCCACCATCTAAGGAGTGTGCTCATTCTTGAAGGGTAGACAAATGGAGGCCCCAAGGCAACTCCCTGCCTCTCCCCCCAGAGCTGGAGCTCAGACTTGAGCACCCTGATCCCTGCCACCTTCACATGCTGAGGGGCATCTTTCTCTTTGGGTTGGGACCCTGTGTTCAGGGCACCCACTTTCCCACAGCAGAAAGCCACCAACCTCTATTGGGGGGTGTGGAGCGTTCTCCCTGGGGCCCTTCCAGGGTCCCTGAGCCTCCTCTTCCCAGGAAATGGAGGCTGGCACTGGGATGCAGGGGCTGGGCAGCCACCTGCTGCCTGGGCCAAGCGGTGGAACCTGTTTGTGTGGGATGCAGGCATTGAATCATGAACACACCCAGCTGAGTGGCCCTGGGCCCTGCACAGAGCAGGGGCTGGGGGTGGAGTCGGCTCTGGGTGGCAGGAAAAGCTCTTTTCCCCTCTGCGAGAATGATCCCACTTTGCCAGTTAAATGGAATGGTCTTCCCCAAATCTGGGTCATGTGTGCGCAGCCAGGCCTCTGGCTGCAGTGGTAACAGGGGCCTCTCCCCGCCGGCTGCTCCCCAGGGTCTCCTCTGCTCTCTCCTCCCTTCTCATAGGCTTCTTCATCTTCCTTGGGGTTCTGCTCCCCCATAACTCGGGGTCCTCCCATGTGGCCCTGACCTGCATTCCGGCTGCTCTAGAGGCGTGATCTGGCTTCTGCGTCTGCATGAATGAACTACATCGCTTGGGAGGTCCCGGTTCGAGTTACTAGGGTGACAGTCTGGCCTGAGTCGTTTATGACCAGGCCAGAGGTTCTGTATGTCCCAGGCTTGGCCTCTGCGGTCAGACACTCATTGCCTTCTGCAGGGCAACCAGGAGCCATGGGGGCCTGGAGGTGAGGGAGTTTTCCTTAAATCAGGGTGGGAAGCAGGCAGGGGGCTCAAACACAGAGCAAATTAGCAACTGAGATGGCATCAGCAGCCTTGCCCAGAGGCGACGCTCGCCCCAGCTCCACCCACCCTGCCCAGGCTGCAGCAATGCCTGCTGGATGCCCAGCACCAGGCTGGGCTTATGGGGGAACCAGATGAACAGGACTCAGACCCTGTTCTCGAGGAGCTGAGGGTCTCATGTGGGAGACAGAGAGGCCTCAGATGCCTGAATACCAGGCTCTAAGGAGCACGAGGTGTGCAGGGAAGGGAGAACTCAGCTCTGGCTGAGGAGTTGGGGATGCTTCACGGAGGGGGCGATATTTGACTGGTGCCACAAGGGGGGATTTTAATGCGTGGTGGGTTCCAAGGTTGCTGGAACCATCCCAGGGAGAATAGATAGAACCATGGGAACAAAGGCCCAGCTCGGCAGCAGCACGAGAGGAGCTGACGACTAACCACCAGCCTAACTTGGTTAGTGAGAACACCCAGAGCAGTGGGGATTAACCAGAGTGGCAGGGTGTGGCTGTTGCTTGGCAAGCAGCGGGAGGCCACAGAGGGGTCCCTGTGGAAGGAAGAAGGCCCACAGGGAGGCAGGGTGGCGTGGGGTGTCGGGAGGGCCTGTTTGGCTGAGCTATTTGTCTGGGTAGGGCTACCCATCTGGGTCTCCTGCTGGGCCCCCAGGGCCTGCGTTCAGAACTGGGCAGACACACAGCCCTCTCCAACTCAACGCCCCCGGCTGCAGCCTGATGGCAGGGCTAAAATTAGCCTGGTGGCTGCGGGGGCAGCAGGAGAGACAATCGTGGGACTCACCTCCACCTCTCCTCTCAGAGGGAGGGAGAAGGGCGGCTGGAAGCAGAAAGGACCTAGGCCTGGGCCTAGGCATCACTGGGGCACTACAGCAGCAGGAACCTGGGAACCCTCCGGCCTGACTCAGGGCACAGGAGCTTGAGGGCAGGAGCAGGATGGCCCTGCCTCTCTTCTGGCCACCCCCGGTGCACTGCTGGATCCTGAGGGAGGGGTGGTTGGGTTTTGAGCACCCGGTGCCCTGACCCACTTCTTCTCCTCCTGCTTGCCCAGGTCCTCTGGGGCTCCTCTCCTGTGGTCGCCATGGGAACTCCAGGTGGCTGAAGTTTGCTTGAGCCTAGCTCCCTGAGATGGGCTGTGGATTAGGGGACATGGAGGGAACTGGTCCCCAGCCTGGGCTCTGAGCACCCCTCCCCTGGGGCCCAGAGTCTCCGTCTGAGCTCTGCCCATTTAGAGTTCACCCGGTCTCGTCCTTGCCTCCTCCCTTCCCCACACTCCACACAGCCTTCCAGTCACCAAGTTCTGACTATTCCTTCCACTTGCACAATCTCCCTGGGAGGCATCTGCTCTGCACCAGCCTGGCTGCCTCAGGCCTGCTCCACCCCTTCCCTCTCCCCTGGATGACAGCAGTGGCCTCCTAGGGGGTCTGGCTCCTTCAGTCTGCTCCTCCTGGGTGCTGCTGCTGTCCTCAGGACAAGCCCTGCTTCTGACCAGCGCCTGCCAGTCTGGCAGCTCCTCTGCCCCTCCCTACCACAGCCTGGGCTCCTACCACCCAGGGATGGCTGCATCTGTGAAATGGGTGGGTGGTGTGTTGACCTTCACTTCTGGAACTGCATTCTATGGCGCAGTAGCGTCTTTCTGGAATTAACGGGTATACCTTGAAAATGGGTTCCATGTGGAATTGGTTTGGGAGGCACTGCACAGCCTCTGCCTCCTGGATACTCACAAGGCATTGTAACAGGTGAAAGGCTCCAAGATGCCCTGGAGGAAAGAAATCTGTTTTGATTTGTTTAACCCTGAGATTCCCAGAGTGTTTTGGCTCTCAATAAGGAATGTCTATGAACAACTCTGGGAACAAGTTTCTCTGGACCACCCTTTGGACAATGCTGGAGGAGCCGAAAAGTACGGTGCCTTATCTTTGGGGATCTGGGGTCCCAAGGCTTGCTTCCGCCATCTGGCATGCAGGGGCTCCCACGGGTGCACCTGCTGATATGGGGCCGAGGAAGCCTTGGAAAATTGGGCCAGGCCTTGGATGCCTTGCTTGCTTCTCCTGCCCCGCAGTATGGTTCCTGGATGTGTTTTATTTAAACCACACGTTCTTTTGAAATTTGACCTGGTTGTCAACATTTAAAACCTGGGAGATTCTACCACAAATTCTGCATTTTAAAGTTCTCTTAAAACACAAGGAGCCCTGTTAACACAGTGCACATCTCTCCCTCTGCGGAGCCAGAGAATGGCAGGACCCATTTCCATGCAAGCAGACAGTTTCCTCCCGGCGCAGGCTGAGCCCTCAGAGACACTGGAGTTTCTGCCCTCTGTCAAGGAGAGTATGGGGTTCTCTTCAACAAATTCCTTTTTATGATGATGACTTATGCCTGACCCACCCTCCTCTGGGGGTCCTTCTTTGAGGGCCTGAGGCAGGTGGGGCTCCCTGGCTCCAGCATGTTCCTTACCTCCCATGAAGCACCACGTACAGGATGCAGTCTAGGCTATGAAGTCCACTGGGCTACCCCACCATTACCCTCGGTTCCCATGACAGGGGCCAGAGTGGCCCAGGGCCAGCAGGGCTGCGGGAGGCGGAGGGGGGGCCGGCCACAGCCGCCTCTCCTGTGACCACCTGGGGGCTCAGCTGATGAGGAGATTCACAGCTGCTCAGGTCACCCTGGTAATCGGAGCATGCTGGGTGGGGAACCATTCCCTGCAAGAGCGAAAAGCTGAGAACACTGTGGGACCGACCATGCTGGCACCCCTGAGCCAGCCCGCTGCTGCAGAGAGCCCTCCACAAATAGCCCGCTCTGTACTGACAGTGGCTGGAACCTGGGGAAATATGGCTCAGGGCTGCTTGCTGGGGCCCAGGGTGGGGTGGGGCTGTGGAGGGCCACACCCCTGCCCTGGGATGACTGTGGGTGAAACAGAACCCAGACTTGCAGGCCCCAGTCTGAGGTGGAGGGTGGGGGCCCAGATCAACCTCCCCCGACTGTTAGGATAACAGGAATTTCCCTCCAGGATGAGGCTGGCACTGGTTTCGGTTCTGTCCTAGGTAGAGGAGGAGGTCAGTAGTGGACTCTCCACTCAATGGGGCCTTCACAGGCTCTCATCCAAAGTTCCCACACACCCCTATCAGGATGTCTGACTTCGGCCACCTCCTTCCTCGCCTAAACCTGTCCTGCTCGTGGCCCTCCTCTTCTAAGCCTGTCTGAACATCCCTACTTTGGGGACCCCTCCTGTGTCTTCCTCCTCCAGGAAGCCCCTCTGATCCTCCTTCTCAGAGCTCTAGCCCTCCTCCAAGCTCCATCCCTGCCCTAAATGACCCCTCCTCCCCTGCCATCCAGGGACACTAGCTTCCCTTCCCCTGGTGCAGCCGGACCTTCTGTGCTGTCTTGAGCAAGCCCTGGTCCTCTCTGGGCTTCTGAAGACTCAAGGTCTGGCGCCTGACTTATACCCTGTTGTGATATCCTGTCATCTGGCCCCACATGGAGTCCTGTAGGGGACTCTGAGACCCAGGCGTGAGTACTGGCCCAGGCCCCTCTCGGAGGTCTGGCATCTGCCACGGTCCTCCTCTCCTCCTCTCCCTGCCTTTGCCACAGTTCCCTGGAGGTGGCCTCCAGCCTGGCCCAGGGGCTTACACACTTCTGAGGGAGGCAGGGCCAGACTCCAGACTCAGGCAAGGCCTCGGAGGACACATTCCAGTGGGCAGGGCCCGACACTCTGGCAGGGGTGGCTACAGGGAGGGGAGGCAGGGTAATTGAGGCTCGAGGTGCTGGGCCCCACCCAAGGTCACCAGCCTGCTCCTTTTCCTCAGTCTCAGATGGAGCGGAGGTGGGGAAGAGAGACCAGGGATACAGTAGGGCTTGGTTATGGAGAACAGGGGTCCCTGTCTGATATTGTTAGGCTTTGTGTCTCCACCCAGATCTCATCTTGAGTTATCATCCCCATTTTCCCCACCTGTCAAGGAGAGACCAGGTGGAGGTAATTGGTGGATCATGGGGGCGGTTCCCCCATGCTGTTCTCGTGATAGTGAGTGAGTTCTCACGAGATCTGATGGTTTTATAAGTAGCTCTTCCCACTTTGTTCAGCACTTCTTTTTTCTGTCGCCTCATGGAGAAGCTTCTTGGCTTCCCCTTGACCTTCTGCTGCGATTGTAAGTTTTCTGATGCCTCCCCAGCCATGCTGAACTGTAAGTCAATTAAACCTCTTTATTTCACAAACTATCCAGTCTCGTGCAGTTCTTTATAGCAGTATGAAAACAGACGAATATACTGTCCCTGCTGAGGGCTGGCCCAGCTGGGCTCTCCCTGCATTGGCACCTGGGTTGCCAGTAGCAGCGGTAGTGCTGGCGGGTGGGAGCTCTCCCCTGCTCCACGCCTGCTCCTGAGATGTCCCTGGCACCAAATCACCTTCCCAGCTGTGGGTATGGATGAGGAGAGGGACCAAGATTTTCTATTGCTCCTTTTGCGTGTGTGTGTTTTGTTGTGTTTTTATTTTGTACTTTTTTGAGGTGAAGTCTTGTTCTGTTGCCCAGGCTCTTTGGACCTTGGGCTAGATCTGGGCTCATTGCACCCTTTGCCTCCCAGATTCAAGCAATTCTCTTGCCTCAGCCTCCCCAGTAGCTGGGATTACAGGCCTCCACCACCACGCCAGGCTAATTTTTGTATTCATAGTAGAGATGGGGTTTCACCATGTTGGCCAGGCTGGTCTCGAACTCCTGACCTCAAGTAATCCGCTCACCTCAGCCTCCCAAAGTGCTGAGATTACAGGCGTGAGCCACCACGGCTGGCCTTGAGATTTCCTATTACTCTTGAAGTGAGAGGGTTGGGAGCATAGATGTTTGTGAGTCCATGGGGGCCAGCACTCTCTGTCAGTGGAACCCAGGGTGAACCCTTCTGTGCCCTGGGGTCTCATTTGTCTACCTGACAAGTTCGGTATTAGACCAGACAGGGCCAGGGTTGTGGTTGAAACTCTCGACTCTAATCTCACTAACAGCAAGCTTCAGCAAACTGCTGAACCTCCTGGTACCTCAGTCCCTACATCTGTAAAATGGAGATGACAATACGATGTTCCTCCTAGAATGTCAAGACGATTAAATGAGTTGATCTGTGTCTGTATCCATGTCTGTGTCTATATCTATACCATATGGTATATGCCATGTTAATGTATTTCAATGTTAAGTATTACCATTATTGCCAGATCACAAGCCCTTTTGAGAATTCAGTAAAACATACTTTTCAGAAAAAAACCTGCATCCATATAACCAACTCGGTGCACAATTTCGAGGGGTCACAGACTGCCTGCAGCTTGCCTGTGCAGTATGCAGTATTGAATGTCCAAGGCTGTCGCAGTCTGACTCTAATTTGCTTTCATTTTTTTCAGTTGAAGTCTTGGGGTCAAATTAATATACTCAAATAGCTCTAAAGGTCCAACGATAAATAGTCACTTATTCCCTGCCTCCCTCCTGTGCCCCGACCTCATACTCCTCTCTCTGGCACTGGAGCATCAAATCTGGCTTCAGCCTTAGCTGTGAGCTGTGGTGCCCGGAGTCCGGGGGACAGGACTGCTCCTGTTTCCTCCCCGTGGCCATGAAGTTGGGCTTGGGACTCACTGCCGAGCTGCATGGTCCTACCTTCTGAGTGGCTCTCAAATCTGCTCCGTGGTTCCGTCCCTCTGTCCCTCCCCAGTCCAGATGTCCTCCCTTTCCTGCCTTGGTGGTCTCCCTGCTTCCACCCTTGTCCCTCCCTGGCAGCCAGAGTGAGCTTCCACCTTGCACATCCCACCACATCCCCTCCTGCCTACAACTCCTTGGCGGCTCCCCATGGACTGCAATGATCATCAGGGCTGAAGGAGAGAAACTTGTGTAAGATTCATGATTCCCAGCATACAGGAAAAGCAGAATTCTTACCAATAAACTTGATATCATCAAAGGGGGTCTGGGATTGGTCCAGGGGCCTGTGAGTTCACTGCTTGGGAGCCAGGCCTGCAAGGGCCCCTGGGGTGGGGGCAGGGATGAGGAGGCAGCTGGGATAAAATCATTTCATGCAAATGCATTGAAATGAGGCTTTGTGGCAGGTTTGACAAGCTGCCAGGAACAAAGGCTCTGTGATCATCCTGTCTCCCACCTCTAACCAGCTGGCTAGAGTGAGAGTTCCCTGGGGGCCTGGAGGAGGGGCTGTGAGGGATGGAATCTCAGGCCCTGGACATTAGGGAATTAGAGAAAAAAACACACCTCTGAGCCCCACCCTTGCCCTCCCTTACACCCTCAGTGGGTGCCCATTGCCTAAAAGATGAGATGCAAGCTCCCCTTGGGCACACCCATTACTGAGCTTCCAGCTCATAGTTGAGCAATAGTCCTTTTCTTTTCCTTTTTAAATGAACCTCAGGTACACACGATTGAGTTAATCACACCCCTAGTTAGGATATGCTCTTACTATTGGCTCATGCAGGGCCACCGTGGTTAATGAATAAATGTGCTTGCAATAACACAGCAAGCACCTTTAAACTCAGAGCTCAACCCAAGATCTGGAGCCTTAACAATATTTGTACCTACCTTTGTGCCCCTCCCTTCTCATTTTCCCTGCCACCTCCTCAGAGGTCAGCACTATGCTGAATTTGGTATGTATCACTCCCTTATCTTTTTTTTTTTTTTTTTTTTTTAAAGAGATGGGGTCTCTCTCTGTTGCCCAGGCTGGAGTGCAGGGGTGTGATCATAGTTCCCTGAAGCCTCAAACTCGTGATCCTCTTGCATTAGTCTCCCAAAGTGCTTAGATTACAGGTGTGAACCACTATGTCCAGGCCCTCTTGACCTTTAAACCATGAATTTATTTCTGCTTTCCCTTTTTTTTTTTTTTTTTTTGAGACAGAGTCTTGCTCTGTTGCCCAGGCTGGAGTGCACTGGCATGATCTCAGCTCACTGCAGCCTCTGCCTCCCAGGTTCAAGTGATCCTCCCGCCTTAGCCTTCCAGGTAGCTGGGACTACAGGCACTCACTACCATGACCAGCTAACTTTTTAAATTATTTTTTTGTATGTGTATTTTTTATAGAGATGGGGATTCACCATGTTGGCCATGCTGGTCGCAAACTCCTGAGCTCAAGTGATCTACTCACCTCAGCCTCCCAAAGTGCTAGGATTACTGGCATGAGCTACCATGCCTGGCCTAAATTTGTTTCTATATCAGTTAGGATAAACTAGGTTACACCACAACAACAACCCCCAGTCTCAGTGACTTGCCCTGAAAGAGGCTTCTGTTTCTGCCAATGCAGTTTGGCAGAGGCTCTGCTCATTGCAGGCGCTCAGGGACCCAGGCATGTGGATGGCACAGCCACTATCCAATCACGCTGCCATTTCAACTCCAAGTTCTGGGGTTTGCTTTGGTTGGGAGAGGAAGAGAAGAATAAGAAACACGTACCAGCTCTTAGATGTTTCCGCTCAAAAGTGACACTGAGCACTTTTGCTGACATTTCACTGGCCAAAGCTCTTCCCAAGGCTATCTCTAATTTCAAGAGGGCATGAAGGAAAAATGCCATCCAAAATGAAGGAAGAATCAGAAGACTCTTTGAGCATGGGAAATGCCACCACAACCACGTATCTGTGGATGTCTGAGCAATATGTTGCTGATTTGAGCTGTTCGTGATCTTTATAAAAAGGCATCCTGTTATATATGATCTTCTGAGATTTACTTTTTCACTCAACATTATGTTAAGAAG